CAGGGAGGTACAGGGGTGTCCACACTGAGAGACTTGGGGCGCAGGGGGTACAGGGGTGTCCACACTGAGAGACTTGGGGCGCAGGGGGTACAGGGGTGTCCACACTGAGAGAGCTGGGGCGTAGGGCGTACAGGGGTGTCCACACTGAGAGAGCTGGGGCGCAGGGGGTACAGGGGTGTCCACACTCACCCTTGGCCTCCTCGCCCCGCTGGCGGCCTGGCGGCTGCTTGGGCACGAAGTACAAGGCCTGGCTGATGAAGTGGCGCCGTGCCTTCTTGCCCAGCCAGTCCTGGACGCACAGGCCTCCGCGCGCCGCCCCCGGCCAGCCCTGCGCCGCGGGCACCTCCAGCGTGGGCACGATGTCCAGGCTGATCGGCTCAGCGGCCTCGGGGCTGTGCAGCGTCAGGGTCACAGCGGGGCAGCTCGCCCGCTTCCTGTCCATCAGCCAGCGCCCGCGGGACGCGTGGCGGGACTCACCCCTGTAGGTCCTGAGGAACGTCTTCACCAGGCCCCTGGTGTCCTGCAGGATGCGCGTGGCGGAGATGCTGCGGCCGTCCGGCAGCAGGAAGGCGCGGAGGGGGGTGCGAGGCGCCCGCACCACGGCCAGCTGGTAGTAGAGCCCCGAGAAGCCGCGCAGCTCCGTCAGCTCCAGCCGCGGCGCGGGCAGCAGCAGCATCACGTCAAACTCGTTGGGGTTGTGGATCTGGGGCAACAGGCAGGAGGTCACAACTCAGGGGTCACGCTGCCCTCTGCCTGTACCCTGAGAGCTGGCAGCACAGGGCTCTGCTGCGCTGTGGGCTCAGAAAGAGGGGCACCCTGAGAGAAAGAGGGGTACCCTGCTGCAGCGGGGCGCTGGGGTACCTTGACCATCTCGTAGTAGCTGCCGGTGGTGAGCTTGGTCACGTCTCTGAAGTACGGCTGCTCCTCGTTGTTCTTCAGGAAGTCCATCAGCTGCCCCACCAGGTGGTTGACCAGCTCGGAGGCCCAGCATGTGTCCTGGCGCCGTGGACACAGGCTGTCGTTCTTCAGCCGGATCCTCCTGCACAGCTGGTCGAACACCCTGGGGTCCAGGTTGCCCCCGTCCAGCTCTGAGGGGGAGAGGGGCGGCTCTGAGCCTGCAGGTGGAGCAGAGGAAGAGGATTCAGGCTGAGGCAACGCCTGCTGTCCCACTGTCCTGAGCCCTGCTGTCCTGCTGTCCCACTGTCCTGAGCCCTGCTGTCCTG